TATATATATATGTCCTCGAGAAACAATTTCAATTGTTTGCTTCATACTTCTTCATTAGTAATTTCTCTAGATCCATCTCCAGAGTTTGTGCTCTCTTCACACTTGTTTCTCCATTGCCCTCTGTGTCTAATTATTGTAATTCAGTCATGTCACAGTTCAATGCTTCTTGCACGATTGGAACACCATCCCATCTCCCCAAAGGCCCTTGCCAAATAACATATAAGATGCTTTTGATAGCAGGACAGCGCAAGTGGTTAATGAAACTGATCGCTTTATGGCTGCGCAGTACGGCTGATATCACCAGACAGTGGCAGCTGCATGCGTCCTGTTACCTGCATAGAATTCAACACGCTTTGTTGCCCACAATCTCAAGTAACACCAAGATTAAAACTGAAGCACACAATCGCGGGTCACTGCCTTTACTTGTAGCCCATGCAGGACACAGACTGTCTCAGCAATGAAACTGAGTGGCGTAAGGTCATCAGTATGGTCCACTACCTACACCCTTCTTCGATTATGACCTATGGCCAATTTCATTTTTTACATGCTGCATGGTGTTGGAATTTCTGGCACTGAGGTGATATATTATTTTCCAGGAATTATATTCTATGTTCACTACAGCCGAGGTTCAGGTTCATTATAACAAAATATTTTTATGCTCATTTGTAATGTAAGTGAAACAGGACCAGTGACGTAAGTTCACTATAACTGGAGTCAACTGTATATTGAAATAAGATTTATTTCCAGGAAGGAAATGTTCCACAACAATGAATATACGATTGCAAAAGGATGAAAACGATGTTAGAGGGATATATTAGAGATAGCACATTAAATTCCCTCTACCATTACATAGTAACAACCAGAACGTTATTGATATGTCTTCTATTGGAGGTTCTACTTTCTTAACTCTGATTGAAATTGTTGGTACAAATAAATTTATTTAAAAAATCAGATTTGTACAACTTTTCTACACAATCTATTAAAATATATTACTCCAACAAGAGTAAATAATAAATTTAATAAAATCTACTTGTACATATAAGTTTCACTAATGTGTAGTCATCGTCCTCACAAAGACCAAATAGAACAATTTGGAAAAGAGGTTAAAAAAAATTATAGTTCACAAGATTTTTAAAAAGTAAATCTCCATGTGTCTAGTTCCTTCTACCCTACAATGAATGAAATTCAGTGGTATAATGGTACATTTCTGGACAGAGTATTGATTAATGTTATTATATCGTCCCCCCACACACATTTTTTTCCCTCCCAAGTTTGTTACGGATGGCCAGAATTGACGTTTTGTTTGTATTCTAATGAACATTCACAAACAAAGTTTCAGGCAGGTGGGCAGTTTCTGACACCCTGAATATGATAAGAGATTGCATTTGGGAGACTTCTCTGTGATAATCCACTGAAATACAGAAAGAAAGTTGAAGTTTTCAATCTGTTTACCTTTAAAACCATAGCTTTAAACACTGGTGCCGTGTTCTAAAAATTGAACAAAAGGTTGGTATTGAAATGAAAAAGAGTCTGAAGAAAAGTGATTCACGATTGTAACTGCCAATATCCCTTACTTACAATATACTGATAATTCTCACAGGTTCCAGGCATTGTCTAAATGCTATCACATGTGTGTGATAAGGATGATTTTCAGCTTTTTTACATTATCAAATGTAGAAAGAGTTAAGAGTTCATAAATGATACATTGTTGTTTAGAACATTAAGAATAATAGTTTTCAATTCCATATATTTTATACATCTATTTGCATTTTTAGGCTGCGTAAAAGTCTGCGTAATGGAAAAAATGTAAAAAAATTACAAAAACAGTCATGTTTTTCAAAATGTAAGGTTGAACAAATTTTGTTTTGTTCCACAAAGTTTCCATCACGCTTTCTCTGGTATAGAGACATTCCTTTGAGCTATCTAGAGTGTGACAACATTTTCTGAATGTCTCGAGCAAACATAGAAGACAAAATATGGAAAAAACCATAAGAATAAAAAAAATCAGTCTGCTAAAAACATTGTCCTATCAAAACTATTGTACCAGTGAATTTCCTTCATTTTTGGACATAAGAAACCAGATGAACATGGGAACCTGGTGCACAAAAAAAGAGGAACATAAATGAAGGTCAAATTTATAGGAAGAATATGCAAAGAAAGAAAGAAAGAAAGAAAGAAAGAAAGAAAGAAAGAAGGAAAGAAAAGAAGAAAAAAGAAAAAAAAGGAAAGAAAGAAAGAAAGAGAGAGAGAGAGAGAGAGAGAGAGAGAGAGAGAGAGAGAAAAAGCAGGTAAGAACTTGTAGGACGGTAGAGATAAAGTATGGAATGAATAAAGACAGGGAATAGTGATTAATGAACATAGACTTGACTTATAAGACCAATTGGGCCAGACTAAGGGAAATAACACAGTAAAATGAGACTAGAGATAATTGGAGAAATAAAGAATGGTTATAAAAAACAAACAAATAGAAAAGGCTCAGAGACACAAGAAAACTTCAAACAAATTTGTAGAGATCAGGTGAATCCAAATTGATAGCTTGAAAAATAAAACAGAAAAAATTAACATAAATGAGTAAAGAAGTTGGTTGAAAAGAGAAAACGGACGGACTAGTGGACGGCGGACAGATGTAGATCTAGTGCATCGTTTTTGGTAAATTGGAAACATTACATTATTGTTTTTCAATCATTGGGTCATAACTCTGGTAGCACATACTTTTTTGCTGTTTTAAGGAGCACTTTTTTAAGTCCCTGTGTGAATTAAAGTCCAATGACTGTGATTCTGGCTTACAAAGATTATTAACTGTTGTATATACAATGAAATAAAAATTACTATAATGAATACCATTTATATAGTATCATTTTAATGATGGACTGATTGTTCTTCACAGCCAACAAAAGCCTTATATGTATTATGTTCATTATTAGATGCAAATTTTCATGCATGTAACTGCACTCTCATACAATTTACATTCAAGTATTATTTTTTTTCATGGAATTTGCATAAAAATTACACTATTTCATTCCTGGTTGAAACTCTCAGATAATAATTAACAAGCAAATGATGCAGATTTACGAATTCTATACAGTGATAAGAAGAGCTAGCAAATTAATAAGAAAAAGAACTATGGAGCGCAGTGAACACACACAACCTTATGTTCCCAAGGAGAGAAACTGAAGTATTTATGATAAGGTTCAAAGAAGAGGTGAACAGTCAATAATGAGAAAAATGAAATGTTAAGAAAATAGCAGGGATATAAGAGGAGAGAGAAGATGATAGGAAAAAGCAAAAGCAAAACAAGGGAAAAATGGACAAACGAAATGCAAGTATAAGGAAACGAAGAACAGAGGGAAAAATGGTAGGTGGATAAATGACTGGAATAAGAAAGGCAGAGAAAGAGAAACCTTGTAGGTGTACATACCAAACAGATCATGTTAATAATGATAAAAAGAATGCAAGAATTGAAACAAAGTATGAAATCGCCTTTTCATGCAAAATTCAAAAACAGCACAACACAATGAGGCAGAGATCCATGCACTGATAAGTTTTAAATTGCCAAGCTGTAAAACCCCAAGAATAAACTACTTCAAAATAAAATTAACTAAACTGAAACATAAAAAGAAACTCTCACACTTTCACACTCTTACACCTAACCCAGTCCATGCAAACCTGCCATTTTTGGGAAATGTAGTTATATATTCAAGTTAGTAGAGATATTTAAAAATCTATGAGAATTCAATAATCACATTTGCAATTATGGATTGGATGCATACAACTATAGAATTGAATAGTTCTCTAATACTGTAATACATCTCTGGTTACCAGAGACCTCTTGAGGAAGAATTTATAACTTACAATAGAAGTAAAAATCCTCACTTACACAGTATCAGAAATACTCTATGTTTTAGCCACATACTGGCATGGAAGAATGTATTGGTCACAGAACCACCAGTTTATACAATTTAATTGAGTGAACGATGTGAATGATTTATAACAATAATTATATCTTGGGCTTGCGAATGTTAAGAGGAAAATAACTTTGTGACACAATCATCCACTGGCCACGTAAGGAGACTAAATATGCTCAGAGAAATCCACTTGCAGAAAAACATAGGCAGCAATAGAAACCAAGACATCATTCACTGCAGAGGCACAGGTAAAACAGTTTTGAAATTTTGGTAACCTAGACTCACACACAACGAAAACCTGGCCTCCGAACACCAGCAACTCTTCTCCCTAGGGGCCTCATACTTGGTTTTTGTGATGTCTGAACCTGAAAAACAAAATAAAAAATATAAACATGAGAAGGAAGATTATTTATTATCAGTACACACACAGGCAAATTAGAAAAAACTCCTCCAGAAATAAGGTAAAGCTACATTGGGGGGGAGGCAGCATTACTCTGCGTTACATTGGGGAAGGGGGGGGGTCATAGTTTATTGTTATGTAATGCTAATATTTATTTCTAGATCTGGCTAACATAGTCCTATTTATTTAATTGTTCATTGTTACCAGTCATTTTATATAAATTGTTACAATAAATGGAAATATATTTTCATCAATGGTATATTGATTGAATCTTTTGAATGACCAAGGAAACATTCAAAACTGAACTAGAGTATATTCGAGAATGAAATTAAATTGGTGCAGAAGACCAGAGGCTCGTGTGGTATCCACAATGGCAGTGAGTGCACGGCTTATTATCTGAAAGTTTCTCACCTACACTTCCTTCCTTCACTCAAACACTGATCACAATCTTATTGTTAGGAGCAATCTACATTGTCAACTAACTGACTTTTGTTACCATAAATTTTAATATATAACACAAATAAAATTAATACAACTTGTTACTGCCTTATAATTTTCTTTACTTATTCAAAATGGGCGTGGGGTCTTGTCGCAAGCATTTCGTAATAATTTCAGGAGGGTTCAATTGCATATTACAGATGCATTACAAGGGGGAGAATGGTATTAAAAATATTCCAAATTATTCATATGTAATTAATGGACTGCCCTTTAGAATATATTAAAACTGTTTCCCATTACAATTTGCAGTGTTTTTAATTCTTAAGTGTTGTGTGGCATACACAGTGCATCATGCTTCAATTCTTAGCTTCTCTTTCCAGGATTTCTGAGATGTCAGTAATATTGATATCAAACACCCTACAGCCAGGTCTTGTTCTGCCATCTAGCAGTCCATATTTATTTATTTAATGTATGTATATATATGTATGTACTTGGGACGACAGCCCGAGAACAGGCCAGGCCTACCAGCGACGTCCCTCCCTCGCGGCCATGGGTTAAGGAGGTACGTGTGATTAACACATAGACATCCCCACGTCGTATTCCGGTCTTCTCAACCTGAGAAGTGAATTTTATCATAGTCACACAGCAACATATACTGAGACATTGCAAGGAAAATGCACACTATATTCTTGCCTGACCGAGAATCGAACCGCGTGGAAAGCGAACACAGCTACAACCAAGACCAAAACTATCTACGACAGGCATGACAACACTGGTAGCAAAGAATTATTTGAAAGGAAAGAAGATAACCTTTCTACATTTATTATCAAAAACAATAAATCATGCGGTAAGAAACAAATATAAGAAATTATTTTCTACTAGTGGCATGTAGCAGCAAAATGCTACTGAACAAACCCACACAAAACGGTTTTATAAAATGTAGTACATAAGAATACACAGGTAGTTCCAAGAATAAACAAATAATTTGCTCTCATATAATACTAGAATAAATTAAATATTTTAACAAAAATCAGAAATATATCTTCAAGAATACTACAATGACAGAGTATAGTATATTCCGATAAAAGAACAACAGTTCTTTACACACTTTAAGAATATCAAAAAAGTAGCTGTTCTATAATGCAACAAGTGAAAAGCAAATACTTAATAGTGTTGGCCTCTTCCTTGGAGCCTTTCTGTTCCATGTAATCAGCTGTGTTGTACGTAGTGATGCACCAAGTATGTGAATTTAGACAATAAGTGAAGTATGAGAATTGGTGGAATATCACAATCAAATATTTGCAGTTTCTATGGAAATCAAACTCATAGTTTTTGGATTCTTCTCAGAGACTGGGTATCTAATAAAACCAAAGAAACTTCTCAAAGGGCTGGAAGCTGCAGTTTTCTTTAAATTTCTGTGCACATTGGAAACTTGTAATACAGATTATTATGGTTAGAAAGTAGAAAACATGTCCCTAAAAAGCAAATTTTGTAAAACATCACAATGTTTTTAAGAAATGCCATATACATAAAAACTATATGAGTTTATCATTTTGTGTAATGAAGTGTGTAAATGTGAAAATACTCTACTAAAATATTTTCATGTAATAAATTTGTTACCATGAAAACGAAATGGTGTAATCAATGCACCACACCAGTTAAACGATAACTGTCCACACAGCCCCACTTCACCAGTGGCATAACTTGGGCCTGAAAGGTCTGCAATGAAGGTGGGCCCAAGTAAAAGAGGACCTATTTCTAGGTTGAAGATTTTGCAAGTGCAGGAATTGCAAGCAAAAAGTTTAGCAATTATCTATGTAGTAATTGTAGACTGACGAATATGAATTTACTAAGATTAAAGTTTTGCAGGCAGCCCCACACTCGTTTGATTACGCTACTGACTTGCACGCCATACACTTATTCAAATGTTTTACTTTAATTAGGGAAAATCAAGATGAGCACGTGCATAGAAAAGTAGTATTGCAGTTGCTTTTATTGTAATACTGGATATAATATGGATGGAATATAATATACTGGATATGAGTTTATCTGGAGGAACTCAATACTGTGAAACCCAACATAATAGTAATCACAGAATCCTGGCTAAATAGCAACATTCCTCACAGCCTGATATATCCCAGATTTTTCTATCCAATGAAGAGACAAACTAGACAAAAGACGTGGAGTCTTGATCTACGTGCGACAAAATCGGAACAACCACAGTGAAAGTAACGATGATCCACAATCTTTAAGATCCTGAAACAGAGACTCTATGGCTGAAAGTGCAGATGAGTAGAGTTAAATTTGCTGGAAAAATCACTGGCGGAATTTATAGACAACCCACACCTGGGACAAAACCCTCTCAAACAGACATCAAAATCTTTGAACAGATTAGCAGAGTTTCTGAATTAGATAAACCTGTCATAACCATGGGCAACTTCAACTTCCCCTCTATCACATGAACAGAAGGCTGAACTACATCCAGGACTGAAGTGGAACAGGAATTCCTACAACATTCACCGACTCAAACCTTAGCCAGAAAATCAATGAACCCACGAGATATAGAGGGAACCAAACCCCTGCAATTCTAGACCTGGTACTGGTGAATGAAGAAGGTATTATCAGTAAATTCTTGGCTATCCGGGAGACGCCGCGTAGTTGGCTGAGAGGCCGACATTTCGCCTGACATGTCGCAGACTTCCTCAGGGCAGTGATTGCGGCGCAGCGCGCCCGGTGTTATATACTATCCTGCCTGGTCGCTCGGGAGGAGCAGGTGCGCCGTGATTGGCTGGCGGTCTGGGCCAACCTGGGCCAGACGTCGGAGTAATTATTAAGTAGTAAATAGTAAATTTAAGTAATTATTAAATATTCTTTGGTAGCTTTTCGTGATAAACACAAAAATATTTTTAAAAAAGTTTCTTACTCTTGAGAAAGCTACGAGACAGAACAAGCTGACACGAAAGTTTTAACGAATGACTGCTGATCGAAAATACTGCTACATCCATTTGTGTTAATAAATCATACAATTAAATATATACGAGTGTCGAGTCACCCAAAACACAGGGTGACAAACAAGTGTAATCTTTTTCTTAAAAAAATAGTTTTTGTTGCATATGAGAAGATACTACAAAATTACAGACCTAGAGATGCTGATTTTTTATAAAAAGAAAATAATTTACCATAAAAGATTTTTAAAACTATAAATGAAAAAAGGGTTAGATGTCACCCCATTTTACAATATTTTGCAATACTGTGAAGCACAATGCAACTATTACTGAATACACTATTGACGGTTCGATTGATTGATAGCAGTGCAGTGCAGTGTAGTGCATGCAAGTGTAAGTGGGGGTGTGGATAGGACACAGAAGAGGGAGGAAAGATCGCGTGTTGTCCGTTTGCTAGGGTACTGTTCAGGCATTCACTTGGTGTTGATCGGGGAATCACGGAAAACTACCGCTCAGAGCAACCGGCCGCTAGAATTTCCCCTCCAGACAGCGATTGAATTCGACCTAGCTTACAAGCTAGTGTCGAAAACCCTAACACAGTCGGACTCTAACCTAGGACCTCCCGGTCAGAGGGACAGCAGTGACATCAGTTCATGCCCAGTTCGACCCAACTAGTGTTTTGCAACATTGAAATACTCAACTGACCGAAACATTTTTCTATACTATTTTTTGGCAGGAAATGATAGCTGGCGAGTGAACATGTCAGCATAGTGCTTTTACGTTTTGTTTGGTTTCGGGATGAAATTAATGTTCAAGGTTTGGTTTTGGATGCAGTTTTGATGGCAGGAAATGGCCTCATGAAAGTGTGGATACATTTAGCAAGTTTTTCTGGTAAATCGTGCAGCATTAACTACTTTGATATGATTAACCTCCAAATGGTATAAACACGTGAGTAACTAATAAACGGCTTTCATTAAGTGAGCTGACTGAACCACATCGAGTCCTTTTCATTGATTCCCTATGGCTGAGAACATGTCTTCCACCTACAGTCAACCTGTCTGCTTCCAATGACAATTCTGTTGGCGAAATTGATGCTATTAGGTGAACGGGTTCTACGAGAGTTATCGCTGTGGACAGTGCTGTGACCAAATATAAACAGTGCAGGTGCCTTGTCACCAGAGTTCAGCTACTACTCTGAAGACGCTACAGAATGGGGCGTTTGTTAAATGCTGTCAACCTGTTACTAAGTTTGAAATTGAGGAATTGCTTGCGAAAATACCTGATAAGTTGAAAAATGAACTTAAGGAACATATATCCTCCTTTTTAGAACCTTTGACGAGTCGGATTGATATATTCAAGCATCGTCAGGTTGAACAAGAGCGCCGCTTGGATGATTTTGATATTCGTTTGAAATCCATTGAGGATCGGATTGCTAATTCTGCCCTAGAGCATAAACTAACTGATGAGACCTTTATTGGCGAAACGGAAGAGATATATTAACGCCCTTTTAATGCTATTGTCAAACTGTTCTCAGAAAGGCAACTAATCCGTTAGGCAAACTAGGCAACTAATCCGTCAAAATTGAGGGATGAACTGAACAGCAGGATTGCAGATGGTGAGAATACCTTGTGTATTCGTTACATTGAAGTCAATCCTATGATTACCGAGCGTCGAAAAAAAACTGAAAAATGGTGGAATCTTTCCTAG